GTGATTTGACCTGCGGAGCACTAACCACTGTGCTATAAACTTACAAGTCTAAATCTAATATATCTATTTTCAACTTAATCTTAAAAGCAATAAGTTAATTTATTATCAATTTTCTTATTTTTTTTGGTGCTCTTCTCTTTTTTATAATTCTTTATTCTTTTTATATGTTTAATGATCTTTTCAATTTCTTGAGTAAATTGAAAAGTCAACTTTTCTTTCAATTCTTTAATATAAAGTTATGCAATAAACTTTTACTTTCTTATTCTATAATATAGAACTTTATCTGATATAAGTATTTTAATTATCTTATTATGATATCTTGTCATTGTCAATTTATAAAAAAAAACAAGATTTTAATAACTTGTTATCTACTAATAATTTTTTTACTTGCATATCATATTCAAGTAAGTCTTAATTATTTACAACATTAACAATATTAAATATCTCCTTAATTTGTATTATATATTTAAATTGATCTACCTATTTTTATTTTTTTTATTTCTTTTATTAATACTATATAAGCAATTTAATCTTAATAATCTTTAGCATAGAAAAGGTCAGACATATACAAGGATAAAATATGCCCTTAGTGCAATAGATGGGAAATCACAAAACACATGTTTAGTGAACACTACAGGGATAAGATTAGAACTACATACTTACAAATACTAAAAGAAGAAATAGCAAGCAAAATAGAAACACAAGAAAAAAGAAGGAATTGAAGAAAACAACTTGAATTCATTATTAACAACTCAAAAAGAACCATTAGGTATATAATCAAGAGAATTTATGAAAAGGACCTTACTAAGCTGATGGAACAAATTAACAAGGAAAAAATCAAAGACACACTAAGAACAGTTACAAACAAAATGATAGAGAAACTCCAAAAACTCTGGATCCACAGATGTGATAGATTTCAGCAATGGAAAAAAGAAGAAAACATAAGCAGAAGAGAAAAAAGAAGGAAAAAACGAAGACTTCAAGTCAATACCCAAGCTACATACACAAGGAAGTACAGATCATCACTCGAAAGAATGGAAGAAGCAAAAAGATTATAAGGAAAACTCTTAGAGAACTTGCTAGACTGGAAAAAAACATAATTAATTTCAATTTCTTTTATTATTCATACAATAACAATACTAACAGAGTCTTAACATATTAGCCTTGATATATATTGCAAGGTAAGTCAATAGCAACAAGCCAATATGGTATTAAATCGATATAGCAAAACATACATCTAGAATAGTTTATAGATGGTAAGTCTTGTAACAAAAAATACATATATAAACTAAATAAAGTATGTTGGACAAGGTCTCACTAGTTAAAAATAATAATAATAATAATCTTTAGTATTAATATTACTAAATATTTTTTCAGTTTGTATCAAATATATTTTAGGATCTAACTCAGCTTGCCAGTTTATAATGATATTGTTATTACTATCGGCGAGTCTGTCGCTAACCCGGGGATGGACCTCGCCTTACGATAGGATAGACTTGCCAGGCCCTTGCTTGACTCTTGGACACTGCGGCCTTGTCTTATGGCGTCCTTAATTATTTTTACCCTAACTTGATCCTAGGCCCTGTCGATCTACTATACGATCGACGATCTACAGACAAGAAAGGTAAGTTTGTAATTAACGGTTGCGCGGATTTGCAAGTTTCAGTGTTTTAATTAAGCAGGGACTTCTTTATTTAGCAATTGTTCATTCTTACATTTCTATTCTACTCTACAGCTATTTATATTGCTTGCGACGCGTCCCCAAATCAATCGTCGCGTCCTGCAAGTTTGACCACAAGCTTTTACATACTTTTTAGCCTCCACTGATGCATAATTTGATACATCTGACCCTACGCCGCACCAGACCTGGTACCCAACCCATACCCTTATCCCCCGTTCTGTCGTGCCGCTTCCCCACCCATGTAATTATTATGCCAACAATATATTCTCATTAAATCATTTATTATCATTCTTAACACTAGTATTACAAATTGATTCATTTATTATAAACAATTTATTTATTTGGATGAAACAAGTAACAGCAGTATTTTCATCTCTTTTAATTATTTTTTCATTTTACAAATCTCTAATAATATTCTTTTATCTTATTAGAAAAAATATCTCTTATAAGAATTATTTATAATATTTATTGTTTTATTATTATAATAAGTATTTGAAATATTTATCTTAATAGTGACTACAAGCCAATCTCATATGCTTGGTAATTAACAGAGCTGATATTGATATTACAAATAATATCTTCTCTATAATCAATTTTTTCAACTGAATCAAAGCTCCAACTGAAACCTTAGCTCATCTATACAAATTAATTTGGACACCTCACTATACTACAGCAAACATATTTCTCCTTATAAGTATCAAATAAAACAATAATCTTCATAGTGACACAATAAAACAAATTATCAAAAACCTAGTCAAAACCAAATCACCTAATAACAACTCCACATTAACATTAACTATTATAGACATATCCACTATTATAGTTAACTTATATATCCAAAATGGATTTAATTTTACTAAATATATTTCCAAATTAATTACAAATCTTTCTAACTTTCTTCTATCCAATGCTGAAAAAAAATATTTGAAATATTTATTAAGATTTTTATTTTTTTTCAAGTTTCTTTATCATAATTGCACACATGCTAATTGCTATTTTCTTACTTACTTTATTATTGAATTTAATATTAAAATATAAGTTATTGAATTTCTTTTAAAGATTCTCTTAATTCTAAAATAAATATATTTGTTATTATATAATTTAAATTTGTTATTTATACCTAATAATATAGTTATACTTTTTTTTTTGATCCTTTGTATACTTGTATAGCTTGTATAGAAATGCATATTTGATACTTGGGTATATAGTAGGACTCCTAATAATACTACTTTAATATCACTTCGATACCAGTTTGATACTTAAATTTACTATAGATTGGTATTATTTTGATATCAGTTTGATATCAGTTCGATACTTTTTGGAGCTCTAGTATATAGTTAAGTGTCTTTTTAATTTGGATTGATATATTCAACAATATTTCTTATTTCATATTGAATTTGTTTTATCTTTGTTATTTATTATTTTTTTATAAATACTATACTTTCACTGATTACAATTAAGCTACTAATATATTATTTATAATAGTCTTATTACATAGTATAAGGATAATAATATATAGAAAATTAATTAATAAATATAATTGCAAAAGAATATATCAAAAATAAATTGACATATAGGAAGGTTGCACAAGGAAAGGCTTCTGGTCTAACTCCAGTATAAGTCCACAAAATTCTAATCCAAACTGGTGATAACAAACTCCATTACACAATATAAAGAGACTAACTTTAAGCAAGATCTATCCCATGAGTAATGTTCTCCTGAACTTAAATAGATCGAAAGGGCAAAGGTCATCTGCTACAGGAGATGACAATCCAGGCAAAAATCATTAAGACCAAGTGAGTCTGGTGAGGATCATCAAGATTAAATCAGAATCCAAGCAAGGATGTCAGTTCCACAGGTGATGAAAACAGTAATGTGACGCTATGCTAGTGGCACATCCTAAGAATCAACAATAACAGTAACTGGAATACTGGGATTAGTTTCTATAATAATATTCCATAATAACTTGCTTCCTGAATAATAAACCAGCAGGTTTTAGGTAGGTTTAAACTAGTGATAGAATTCCTCTCCTGCAAAAGTCCCACTTGACATGTGGACACATCCCCAAGATATTTAAATGGACACATAATTGGGTAATAGTGGTTAGCATAGCTAGTCTTATGGTAATATATATGCACTAGGCAGTATTAATCTACAGATTAACTGTAGAGACATAAAGGGTATCCTGTATCAACCGATTTCCAATTAATTTATAGAGACACTTGGTGTTTATCTAGATATATAAACATATCAATAAAGATTACGCACCATGCACACGTTTCATTATAAAAAATAAAAATAAAAAATAAATAAATTGACATATCAGTAATTATCTATTTAGAATTTTTATGAAAATAATGGTATCACTACATGAGTTTAAATTATGCAATTATTTAACGGTCATGTCAATCAATTATCTATTTGGATGTGACTGAATAACAGTTATAGCATATGAAACAAATGATCTAGCCGTTTCGGTAAAACCATTCATTACATACCAGGTATTAATGATCTTTAATTGATAAACTTTCCTATTCTGGCTGTGATACGTCTGTGTGCTTGCTCTTTACATTCAATCTTCACAGACTGTTGATCAATTTGTTATTCAATGCAGGATTATCGCGAGAAAGCTTGTGTTCTAGGTATTATATATAAAGTTACCAATAATTTATTATTGTTAATATTTTATATACGACAACAAAGTAGTCAAATAAGATAACGTATAAACAATCACTAGATCGTATATTCAAATTTAGGTTTTAAAGTCACACACTGTATTTAGCAAGCCACTCAGGATAATATTACTGTATGTAAGTTAAGGGAATGGAAATGGAATTTTTTGGCATTATGGTTATTACAAAATTAATAACAATGAAAATCAGTTCAACCTAGAAGTATTATTCTATAACAATATTAACTGCAAGTACTAGTTGTTCGTTCGCCTGAATATGTCACTTGTGTAATCTTAACGAACAACAAACAAAATGGATAAAAGTCTCAAGAACACTCGAATAGATAAAGGGCTGATGTGAACGAGATTAATCGAGAAACCCATACTGTGGTTTTGGCGTAATCCATATCGTATCAATGTTGGTTATGCTGTATGTCTTGCATCTTGCATCCGTAACTATCGAATTTACTTTCCAGATCAGATTAAATGTCACATGCAATCTAAAGTATTATCTCAAGAGTCAAGTTAGCTTTAATAAGCAAAAATGGCAACAATCGCGGACTCAAATTTAATCTCCTGAAGATCTTAATAATTCTCGGGAACCAAGTCCAGATATATAGACGGCAATGCGAACTATGTCGTTCTAAAATGCCTGATACAACTTCTTTCCAAGGAAACTTGCCCGCTGATAATGAAAAACTCACTTATATATTCATTGATAATTCCAATACCTTTATTGAGGGAACCTTTTCCGTTGGTAAACTCGAAAATTTGGGTTCAATTGACAATGAACGAAATTCTTTGGTGTTTAGGGATCTAGAAATTAATTATGAGTTACTTATTGAAAGGATCCAGGGTAAAGGAAATCTGGGTGCTAAGCCAGTAATAGTCCCTTCGCCAGAAAATTGCCAGGGGAGTGAACAGATTAAAGGAAACCTGAGCGTCAGGCCACTCATAGTTCCGTCGCAAGAAGATATACAAAGGGACATTCGGGATAAAGAAAATCCAAGTGCTAAGTCAGCCATAGTACATTCACAAGATAATAATAAGTGGGATATTCATGATAAAGAAAATCTGGGCGACAGGCAGGTCATGATTCTATCGCAAGAAAATTGCCATGAAAATAATCAGGGTAAAGAAAATACGAGCACCAGGCCGGTCATAATTCCACCACAAGAAGATAGGCAGGTGAATGTCCAGCCGAAGTCAGAATTCGGCTTGAAGACATGTATGCAAAATAATCTTAAGCGTAAAGAACTCAACAGGAAAAATGAAAATGATAACAAAAACAAACTGGTTAGCTACAATAAACCCTCGGGAAACTATGGTGAACTCTGGAGGAAATATGATAAATGTGACACACCTATGAAAGAATGTTATTATTCTTGGAGAAAGTGTGACGAACCCTTAAGGAAATATGACGAACTCTGGAGAAGATACAACGAACCGTGGGGAAAATGTAGTGAGCCATGGAAACAGTGTGATGATACCTGGAGGAAGTATGACAGACCTTTGATGAAGCATGATAACCCCTGGAGAAAGTGTGACGAGCCTTGGAGAAAATGTGATGAGTCCTGGGTGAAGTATATCGAGACTTGGAAGAAACGTAATGACCTTCAAAAATACAACGAGCCTTGGAGAATGTGTAATAAAGAAAATAAGGAAAATACTATTGACCCTAGAAAATCAAACAGTACGGAGAAAGCTGTAAGATCAAGCGAACATCGTAAGAAAATTCGGGAGAAGACAGTTGACGTGGAACTTGCTTGCAACGTAATGGAGACTATTCTCAAAAGTAAAGAACCCGGTAGATTTGTGTTAGTCGCCGGCGATTATGACTATGAACCTATAATAAAGCGGGCTCTAAAACTCAGGTGGATAGTCGAAATATGGTTTTGGAAATCAGGTATGAATGTTCATTGACTATTTATTATTTCAAAATATTCATATCACATGAATTTCAATTTTATGTTTTATAGGAATGTCTAACAGATTCAAGTCGATGGAAGATGTTGAGATCAAATATCTAGATAATTTTTATAAGTCATTTACGTATTGCGGTAGATTCAAGCCAACAAAAATTTCAAGAATGCATGTTCTCGAAATCAATGACTGTAAAAAAATTCAATACAAAGAGATGGAGTGTTTCGCTGCTTTGAGTTTGTTTGGTTTATGGTGCTGGTCAGATGACGAAACTTTATATTTGTATTTTACCAACGAGAATAATTCGAAGAAAGCAAAATGTTGGTTAGAGGCTAAGTACGGAATCCAAGTTTGGAAAAAAGTATAAAATCTAAATTTTAAATACTGTAGAATGTATTTTATTTTTTGTTTATCATTATTATTTGAGAAATATTTATTTATCTATTAAGGATGTTCTTTAAATTTACAGTTGTAATAAAAAAATACTATAGATTTCTTTATAAGCAATAGCCAATGAAGTTAACTTTTGAAATATTTTTTTGTCAAGTATTACTCTATACGGCACAATAATAGTAAAAAAGTGTATTTATGCTACTTACTGATTGGAGGTTTTGTTTTTTTAAACTAGTTTTCACGACCGGCAAGTCTGTCGTAACAACAGTCCCGATTCGCTACAGTTACATAAATTTTTTATAAAAATTATATACAGTATATAATTTATTATAAATTTGAAATCATGGACTATTCTTAATTTGTTTATTTATAAACTTTGTTACCGCTATAATAATAATATCTCTTAAATCATATGGAGTTTACTAGAAGACAAGTAAAAAAACTTATAATAAAATTCATAACATTATAATTTACATGATTACCTACCAAATAAATAAGTAAATTTAAGTTTATAATAAATAACGATATAGAATTTAAAATTTATAGATAATTATAATATCAATAATAATTAAATTTGTTCCTTGAAAAATCATGTGAATGGTGAGGAAAGGTGATTAGGATTTTAACCTCTAAGGTATACCTTAACTTGGCCGGTGATCTTAACTCTTATACAACTAGTTCTTAACTCCTAAAAACTAACTCTGGTTTATTTATTATTAGTGTTTACCAAAGTTATAACATGTATTATCTTAATCAAAGTACTAATTGATGTTTTTTAAATACTCTTCTTTTAATTTTTCATCCTTATTATAAATTCTCTATTTATCCTGGTCATATTTCGTGCCTTACATTCACATACATAATTTTTACTTAATTTCAAATTTTTCTAAAATTACTTAAGGTCGTGAATTCCTTATTTTTTCCATAACATAATATTTTATGAAATTTACAATGTGCATATAACATATTTAAGAAGATTCTTGTCACTTGGATAATGTGCAACGTCTAATAAATATTTGTTGATTGCTTTATTAAGAATTGAAACTACAGTAATTAACAAGTTTTACTTTGTCTACTGCTTTTTATAGTGTAATGGTAAAATTACAAAATTGATTTGTAAACATTATGATAAATAATTTGACAAACTCTAAGTTTTTTAGTATGGTGTTTTTTGGAATGGCCTTTACAGCGTTATGGAACAATAGGGATGGGAACGCGACATTGAAGCGCGTCGCGTAACAGATGGCAGAATGATGTAATAATTTGGTAATACCATGTGACTGGGCGGACGCGTTAATGAGTCATATAAATAGAATAGTTTTCCATAGTTTAGAACGGAGATTCAAAGATAGTTAATCATAGTCGGTTAGTTCGAGTTTAGAGTTTGCCTTATGTAATTTAGTGCCGAATTCAAGCGTTCGGATTATCGTCACGCGAAGAGTGAGCCGTTTTAGCGACAGACTCGATGGTGACGACTACAGTATTAGCCCTATTACATTGTAAAGGGTAAAAGGAAATGCGATTCTCGCGCATCTGCACCAAGTATTGCAAAAAAGAATTTGGAGGGTATGTGAAACAAAAATCGAGAACATTATTATGCAAGACTTGTCGCATCAATGTTCGTGACATCTGATCCTGGCACGACTGGTCGGACTAAGGAGCGTTAAATGTAAGTGCAAAAAAACAAAATATTGTGAAAGTTATTAGATAATATTTTGTCACTATAGTTTATTTTTTTTCTGTATATTGTAACAAGAGTAATTGGAACGCGACTTGACGTGCTAGATTGGCAGGCACGATTATCTAATGATAGAAGAGGAGTAAAGAATTGTGAAAAAGAATCGTGTAATACAATCGTTAATGTGATCTATTAACATAGACACCCTTAATGATGTAAATTACTAAAGCATAAAAAGAGAAAATGTGATGTTGATATGGAACGATTTTTAACAAATCGATTAATAAAATTAATTGTTTTTATCCTCAACCAAATTAACCGCTTCACACTTTTTAGAACACTTACCGTAATTAGTAGTCCGCGAATTCTGTTAATTCGTAGCGACAGGTTCACGGACGATTGTTACAATATGTAGGTGTAACTAAACAGAAAAAGGTATGTATAAAGACTAACAAAATCAAAATAATAAACGGAAGAACTCGGTCAATTCTAAATATTTCAAACACATACCATTTTGAATGAACTTTCATAATTGTTACGAAATCGTAGATAATTTAGCTATTAGCTCGCCGTTTTACCCACTACAATATACAGTACTGTATCATTGTCATTACGCGTTACAAATACAAGTAATCGTCAAAAAAGATGTATATATAATAATTTTACAGTAATTTCACATTACATACAGTATATAATTTTACATTTCGCGATACACGGCGAGGTTAGTTACGTGATTGACGGAACGCTTTTCTTTGTCTCACTTATCATGCAATAGATTACGATCAGCTACATTAAATTCCCATTCATTTGATATGTCATATCCAAGTTCGTTATCCGCAATTGCCGACAGTCACTTTCCCATTTGCTGGTTCCAATATACAACACAATTAATTAAGTGGCTGCATGAATTATTGATATAATTAAATTAATTTCATTATTTTTCTTGGCGTCCTAACGTGATGATATTTAAAAGAATGTATTTAGGTCACTTAGCTGCTTCGCGTGATTTTATTCCCAAATCATTAAGTTTATTAAATTATTTTACAATTTAATGATTTCTGCTTCCGATTTACATTACAGTACTTATGAATCTAAAATTCTGTCATGGAAAAACCTAAATTTTTATCCACCGTCACTGTCCATTGGCTCAACGACGTAAGCGCGATGGGATTGAATTAGATAAGGGGTAAGTCATGTAATATTTGGGTGAGCTTTAATTTGAACTTATTTTTTTTTTATAGATATCAATTTTTTTTTTTATACCCTTGGATTCTTATCCTTTTATTTAGTTATTGATGGGCTTTTATACATTTTTCGCGATGCATCGCTTATAACATCAAAGAAACTACAGTATTAAAATAAAAGAATAAAAAAAAAAAAAAATCCAAAAATAAATGTTATTATTAAAATCTATGTAAAAAATGTTTCGATTGCATAATCCACGACTTTGCACTGATTATTAGATCAGCCAATCTAGTACTGTACAGTAGATGGTCGCTAACTCACGTTGACCACACCTGTGTGTCACATAACTATAGTCTCGATTCTTATATTACCGTTACACTACCACTAAAGTATGATCTGGTTTTGCTTATGACACTACAAAGTCATGTCATAGCTTAGCTTTAAGTTAAGTTGTTGACTGTCTATAATATATCATTATCATTAATTTAAAATATGCTTAAAAATCAATAAATACAAACATCATGTTTACCTTTGTAATCCGATCTGGTGTGAGGAACAAATTCACTTTTATAAAAATTTTGGTCATATGTTTCTGCATTCATATTTTCCTTATTTTCCATTATTTTATCGAGCTTGCTAAATTCCATTAAATTATTTGCGTCATTTTGCCATTCTGTAAAAGTTTTGCAAATTTCTTCGGCAAGTGGACGATTCTTTGGATTTCCATCCCAACATCTTTTCATAAGATCTGCATAACATTGTGGAGTTCCTTCAACAATATTTGGTCGAAGGTTGTCGTAAACTATTTGAAGTCGGTATTCAACTTTGGATTCTTGGGCAAGGTGGATAGCTTTTCCAGAAGAAACTTCCCACAAAATCATGCCAAATGAGTAAATATCTGATGCTAAGGTGTATGGCTTGCCACAAAGAACTTCAGGTGCTATGTATGGTAAAATCCCATAGACTCCTTTATGTTCCGTATCAGGTGACAATGAAAGACCTAAATCTGCAATATATGCACTATATAAATTGTCTAGTAATATATTACCACTATGTAAATCTCGGTGAATAATACTTTGGGAATGAATCATTTGAAGGTCTGAAGTGATACTTATTAATAATTTTAACTTATCTTTCCATTCAGTTCGTGCTATTAAATGAAGATTATTGCGTAAAGAACCAGCCATTGCTTGATTCATAATAAGAATATAGTCCTTAGAATTGTAGTCTCGAGAAACCCCGTAGCATTTTAAAAATGTGGGGTTTTTATAACCAATATCACAATATGCTTGTAGCTTTAATACAAAAAATGGTAAGTAATAATCTATTAAAAATTTTCATAATAAATAATTACCTCTTTTATAAATTCCTGGTTATTATCTCTTGATCCACGAAATACTTTAAGTGCAACGCATCTATTATTCCAGAGGGCAGAAAACACGGTTGCAAACCCTCCTTTTCCTATCTTCTTAATTTCCTTAAATTCCTCATAGGGAATCCAGAGCAACGGATATTTACTTTCGGAAAGCATTTTTTTTAATTCGTCATCGACATCGGTGTTTTTAAGTATTGGTTTATTTGAAACTAAACGAGTGTTTATTAGTTTCTGAATGAATAAGGTGAATAAACGAGCAGTAATGTCACAATATTTACCCAATAACTTATTTCTTTCCCTATTGTTTGCATATTGCTGTTAATTTATAGAATCACTATAATAAATTAAAATATGAACTTACATTTGATACCAATGAGCAGCCATTTGCAAGTTCCGCGAAACTCCAGTTCCTTGTCTATACAGTTCAGCAACCATATACATTCCGGATATGTGACTCAATTCGGCTGATTTTAGAAAATATTCGAACGCCTTATTCTCATTCTTTTCCACTCCAATTCCATTGAGATAACAATAACCAATATTATATATTCCATCTACATGTCCCATATCCGCAGATTTTTGATAATATTCGAACGCCTTATGTTCATCCTTTTCAATTCCAATTCCATTTTGATAACAATAGCCAACATTACATGCGCCAATTTCATTACCCAACTTGGCTGATTCTTGATAAAGTTCGAATGCCTTATGTTCATTCTTTTCAACTCCAATTCCA